ACAGTACAACATACCAAAAACTTGTGGGTTATATAGCAAAAGCAAACTAAGCTCATACCAGTAAGTGTCTTCAGCAAAAACAGATTTCAAATTAACCCAACGGTACACCTCAAATAACTAGAAAAGCAAGAATAAACCAAACCCAAAGTTAGTATAAGGAAAGAAAGAACAGATTAGAGCAGAAATAAAATAGAGATTTAAAAATTTCGAAAGGTTGATGAAATGAAAAAAAAATTATTTTAAAAAAGATGAACAAAATTTGACCGAAAAATGTTATATTTTTTGACATAGTACCTTATTATGTGTCTCAGGCTTACCTCAAATCCACAGCGATCCTCCTGCCTCAGCCTCCCAAGTCCTGGGATGACAGATGTGCACCACCGTGCCTGGCCTTGAGAAATCATTAGTGGGGTGAAAGGAGAGACTGACAGGGAGAGGGAGAGAGACTCAAAGAAATCAGAGAAGAAAAAGCAGAATCAACTAATAAGAGCTACAGGCTGCCAATAGACTGGTGTCTCATCTGGACACCCACAAACTGGAAAATCTGGAAGGAGTGGAGACGTATCTGGAGACATACACCCTGCCAACGCAGGACCATGAGTGTCCAGAAAACCTGAACAGGCTAGTAAGAACTAATGAGCTTGAATCCATAATGAAAAAGCCTCCCGCCAGAGCAAAGCCCAGGATTAGATGGGTTTACTGATGGATTTTATAAAACCTTTACAAATACGAGTTGTTTTCAAACTATTTCAGAGCATCGAAAGGCAGGACGCACCTCCCAAACCTAGCTTAGGATGCCAGTATGATCCTGATATCAAAACTAGATAGGAACACAACAAAGAAGGGAATTACAGGCCACTATTTCTGATGGGCATAGATGCAGATATTCTTAACAAAATGCTTTCGACTTGAATCCAACAGCACATAAAAATATTACACACCATGTTCAAGTGGGATTTATCCCAGGGATAGAGGATGATTTAAAATATGCAGATCAGAGAACATAATATACCACATTAACAGAATGAAGGACATTATGATAGATAAGAGAATTTGATGAATTCAACATTCCTTCATAATCAAAACCTCCAAGAAACTATACAAAAGTAATTTATCTTAACGCAATAAAAGCTTTATATGACAAAGGGCAGTTAAGAACATACACTGGAGAACGGAAAGGCGTGTCAATAAAAGATTAAATTCTCTTCTTGGAGAGAAAGGAGGGGAACTGGAATCTATATTCAAAAGACAGAACATAGACCCCTCTTACTGTTGTTGCAGTACCAGGGATTGAACTCAGGACCTTGCACTTGCCAGGCAAACACTTATACTGCTGAGCTGTCTCCCTGGCCCTGCTAGACCCCTCTTATTTTATTCAAAAATTAACTCAAAATGGATCAAAAACAGGAATATGAGAACCAAAGCTGTGAAACACCGAAAACATTGGGAAGCTGCTTTAGGACACTAGTCTGGGCAGAGATTGATTGGATGCGACCATAAAAGCACAGCTAACCAAAGCAAATGACCCATGGTGTTACCTGAAATCGGAAAGTTTCTATGGCAAAGAAATTACCAGAGAGAAAAGACTGCCTACAGAACGGGAAAAAATATTTTCAGACTATTTGTCTAACAAGAGATTCATTTCCAGAATATACAAGGAGCTTAGCTGGGGAAGTCAACAGCAGAACTTCAAGTAACCCCATTGAAAAATGGACAAATGACCTAAGCAGACATTTCTCAAAAGAGGAGCTACAGATGACCAAAAATACATAAAAAGTGTTCAGCCTCACTAATCATCAAATAAATGCAAATCAAAACCACAGTGAAGGGCTGGCCAAATAGCTCAGCGGATTAAAGTGCCTGCAAGCAGGCGGAGCGGCTGGGGGGGATTCGATCCCTAGGCCTGCTATGGCCCCGCCCCCAGGATGCGCTGAGATGGCAGTTGGGACTGGGTGTGGTGGCGCGCTCCTATAACCCCAGCTCTTGGGAGGCTGTAAACAGGCGGATCACTACGATTCTGATCTAGTAGTGAGACCCTGAACACACTGTAGACCCTTCCCCCCAAGCCCCCCCAAATCCACAGTGAAGAATCTTGCCTCCATTTGAATGGTTATTGTGAAAAAAACAAAACAAAATAACCTTGTACCGCTGAATACTGCTGGTCTTTTGAAAGAGGCAGTTAATGCTTAAATTTTCTTACTATTTTTTTTCTTTTGAATTTCTTAAAACTTTTTGTTATCGTTTTGTTTTGTTTTTTTCTGTAAACCAATCTTTATATCTGGTAACCTAAACAACCCATTCGAAGACAACGTCATGCACTACGGAAACCATTGTTGAATTCCTATTACTTTGTTTAGTGAAATTTTATATTGTTTCTAATGCTGTTCTTTTCTGTTACCATTTTGTATCCTTTAAAAAATAATAATAAAATAACAAAGGAAACCCAAAATAACCAGTGCTGGTGAGGGTGGGCAGAAAGGGGAAACTCTTCTGCACTGTTCGGGGGGAGGTAAGTTAGCATAGCCATTTTGGAACGTAGCATGAAGATTCCTCAAAACAGTAGAAGTGGAACTGCCGTATGGATCAGGAATCCCACTACTGGATATATATCCAAAGGAACTGGCATTTGTATGTCTAAAAGCCGTCTCACTCACATGTTAAATGGCGGCTCTATTCATAGTAGTGAAGATGTGCAATCTATGTAGATGTTCACTGACATGTGAGTGGGTTAAGAAAATACAGTGTATAACGGGCTGGGGAGATAGCTCAGGGGCATAAGCACCTACCTGGCAAGCGCAAGATCCTGAGTTCGATCCCTGGTACCACAAAAACAAACAACAAACAACCCAGTGTGTGTGTGAGCCTCAGAATATCCTTTAGGAGCAAAGAAGAGCCAAGTCCTGTCATTTGCACGAGAGGATGTTATGGGATGTAAAATAAGCCACAAGGGAAAAGCTCATTACCACCTTCCCAGTTAGGTATAAACTAACAAGCAGATTCCAAAGACGGAGAACATGGAATACTGATTATTAGGGACCCTGGAGGGTGTGGGAAAGGAGTGATTCAAGAGGAAGGTTAATAGCTGCAGGGCACAGGTGAACAGGAAGAAGAGCTTCTAACATTCTGTTGTTCTAACCACAGAACAATAGAGAAGACGTGGCAGGTGACTGTAATTGCATGTTTCAGAACAGGAGAAAAGATTTTAAATCTTTCTGATGCAAATAAATGATAAATGTCTGAGGTCACGGAAATTCCACTTACCCTGATCTGACCACTAATATTACGGTCCTATATGGAAACATTATCTTGTACTCCATAAATATGTATGATTATTGTGTGTTCATTAAAAACGAACACACATTTTATCTTAAGCCATAACACTTGGACTTGGGCTTTGGCTGAATTAGTTGGGCGCAGTGCTGGTCTCCTCCCTCGCCTTGTTCTTTCATCCTTACATGGCGCCTTGTGCACGGGGCTGTGATTGCTGTCCTTCTTTGCAGTTCTTCAGTTCGTGCCTCCCAGTGTGGACACTGGCTTCTGCAACTTCACCCAGCGCCTGGAGAAAGGCCTGATGACCGCTCTGTTTGAAGTGAGAAAACACCAGCAGGGCACACATAACTTCACCGTGCAGGTGAGGAGGCCGCCGAGCGCTTGTCCTTTAAAAACAAGATGGTTCTACTGTGTTCCCTCCTTCTTCCCTCTTATGGTGCTGTGTCCGCATGGTGCTCAGGGGCTGAGCCTCCTTGGAACTCATGGAGCAGCTGGTGACCAGGGAGCTCAGGGCTGAGGCCCCTTGGAGGAGGACCCTGTACAGGAGACGCAAGGACAGCAGAGAAAGATTGGTACCCAATAGGGAACGAGCCAGCATCCTGGGGTTTTCATACAGCCTGAGTGAAGATGCATATTCAAAGTGCATGGAGTGGAAGTGTTTCAAATTGGGGAGTTTTTAGCTTTTTGAAACATTTGTATAGACTTCAATGTTTGAACTTCCATAGTGTGGATATCCAAAGTCCTCTAAGTCTGAAACCTTTGAACAGCACACAGGTAGTCAAAGAATTACTCCAAAATGGGGTTTGGATTTCAGAGCCTGTGTTCTGGAATAAAGGGAAGCAGAGGAGGCGGGTCCCCATCTGAGAATTGCCTTTGTAAGTCTTGGATGGGAACTTGACATTTTTATGTGTTTGATTTTTTTTTCTCCCTCTATATTCTTTGCTTGGTAACTAGATTTTGGCACTTCTGGATTTGGAGAGGAGGGGAGGAGGTACTGGGAATTGAACTCATGACCTTGCACTTGCCAAGTGTCTTCCTTATTTTTGTCCTTATGTTTTCCATATATTTTTGTTGTCTATTTTACTGATTTTTCTACACCCTACCCTGCATCTCACTAATTTAATTTTCAGCTGTGGCTGTTACAAAATTCAGTCCTTCTGTTGGGCTTTCTTCAGTAATCATTTTATTCCCTTTTCCTCGTCTCCTTTTCCCTGCAGCCTTTCCTGCGAGGGTGCAGGCACCATCATCGTCTCTGAGGGCGCAGTCTGCTTCCATCTCCACCTTAGCTCTGCGTTCTCTGAAGACCCTAAACCCTGTGTTGATCTTGGGGCTTTGCTTTGTGCCGTTGGTTGCCTGTGAATGTGTGGAGATTGCTGATTGGCCGCTTGTTAGGATGCAGAAGCAGGACTTTAATTTGGGCTGCTGGTCCGGCTTTCCCTCTCAGTCAGGGGGCCTGTTTCTGTGTCAGGTTTGTCTTCTGATGAGAGACTTCATGGCACTCTGAGAATGGGGCAGGGTGTGTGGCTGCGGGCTTCTTTCTTGCTGCAAAGCATGCAAGGCCAGGCCAAGGAAGGGTGGCAGGGTGCGCACCGCTGAGGGCTCAGGGAAGAGCCTCCTTTCTTTCCTTTCCCTCTGGCTCTTATGCACCCTGGAGTTTACCTGCCCCTGTCTCCTCTGTCTGAGATCTGCTCCCATGGGAGCCTTTCAGTGGCTCTTTAGAGAGAAAGTATGACGGCCTCTAGGCCTCTGCTGGCCTGGGCATGCAGTAGAGGGGAAAGAGGAGGAGGAGACTGACTCAGCTCTTGGGCCTGCTGCGTTTTAATTAATTCTGTAAAGTAGGGCTGAGCTCCAGAGCCCACTTCCACCTGAGACCTTCTACTCTCTACCTAGACCTCCCTGGGCTTGGTGTGTGTGGGGTTGGCTCCCGGCTATGCTGTGGGCTGGCCTCTGTGTGTTTTGGTCTTGCTTCCTTCTGTTCTGGTTTATTTCATTATGATCCTGTCTTTTCTCAATCTTCCAGAAACTTGACAGCATTTTTTATTTTCTTCCATTCACCCCTTCGTTCAGTTTACTGTTCTTTCAGTGGGATTTGAGGTGCAAGCAGAAAGTGGCGAATAAGTATAAATGTTTTTGGTTTAGCACTTAAAATATAAAAAGTGCTTTCAATATATCAAGTGTTGAAAGTTGCAAAGGGGAACCAGGCCACACGGCCAGTTTCTCTTGAGACTTAACCACCTTTAGAAAATATGGGTCAGGGGCTGGCCAAATAGCTCAGTGGATTAAAGCGCCTGCAAGCAGGCACAGGGGCCAGGGGTTCGATATCCCAGCCTGCCATGCCGTTCCACCCCCTGGGGTGTGCTGAGACAGCAATTGAGACTCGGCGTGATGGCGGGCGCTTGTAATTCCAGCTCTTGAGAGGCTGTAGACAGGTGGATCACTGTGAGACCACTGAGACCCTGAACACCCTGAGACCCTAAAAAAAAAAAGTTTAAAAAATAAAATATAAAAACATAAACGAAGATATGGGTCAGCAAACCTGAGAGAGAGAGAGAGAGAGAACTCCTGGAGCTTCAGTTCAGTGTTTTGTTTTTTAAATTTTATTTGCATTTATTTTATGCTTAATTTATTCCTGTTCCATAAGTTTTTGTTTCTTTGGTTTCTTCTGAGATATCATTTTCTTCTGTGCAGCTTTCTCCTCTGGTTTAGGAACAGTTTGTTCCTTTTCAGTAAGGATCATCTCAGTGTGGCAGGGGGAGCTCATGGGTAGGTTAATCCGGCCATGAGCTCTGTAACTACGGTGGTACATCTTGGGTGCTTTGTTCACCTGGATATGTTCAAGAACCAGAGAATCTGCATCTGAACCCTGAAGTTCAGCATTGCTCTCTGCATTTTTAAGCATGTGCAGCAAAAATTCAGCACTCTTTTTGGGCTACCGACCCTGCCTCCAGCCCCACTCTTTGGCCTGGGCACACCTACCAACTCCCCATTGTAACGCCAGAATGGCACACATTGCTTCTTTAATTTGACATCCTTCAGATACTTGGTGGCCTTTCAGATATGCATACCCTTGGTGGCCTGGGCAGTTTCACGCATGTTCTTAAAGTGAATGCCAAGATTTGAGCCTCTTGATTTGCATGATTTTGTGGGGGTTTCTGGGTCGAGAGAGTAGTGAACCATTTTCACCTCAGACCGCTCACAGGAAGAGCCAGTGTTTTGTTTGTGAAGCTTCTCTGACTTTCTCCTTTTAGGTCTTGAATGTCACCGTGGGCTCTAGGGTGGCCCCCCGGCGGGGCCCGGTCAACATCATCTTTGCTGTTAAAAGCGTGCAGGGCTTTGTGAACGGCTCGGAGGTGAGCGAGCTGCTCCGGAACCTGAGTGTGGTGGAGTTCAGCTTCTACCTGGGGTACCCGGTGCTGCAGATCGCAGAGCGTGAGTTCCACACCCCTCGGGGGATAGCAGTGGCCGTGGGTATTATAGTCAGCAGACTTCTTTTTAAAAAATATTTTGTTATTTTTAAAAAGACATCAATGTCTTAGAGCAGTTTGGGAGGCAAAGCGTCCCAAAGGTACAGAGACCTCCCTGCCCACTCCTCCAGTACCGTTTGTTACAGCCTGTGAGCCTGCACTAGTGTCATGAGCATCGAGGTTTATGTTGGACTCACTCATCGTGGTGCATCCATCATGTGTGCATCCTACAGGGTGGTCTCACCAAGGTCTTTCTTTTAAAGGGAGTGTTTGATTGAAGTCTAGAATATGATTAGCTGGAATCGGAACTTCCCAGAGTCCAACCAGGGTGGGCCTTCGGAGCCCTGCTCAGGCACTGCGCCTCCTTGCCTTTTGCTTTTGAGAATAAAGAGATGCCGTGACAAAGTACTCCAAGCCAAAGTGTGGTAGGGTACGTCTGTCACCCCAGCTGTTGGGGAGGCTGGAGCAGGAAGATCTTGAGTTCAGAGCTAGCCTGGGCACCTTAACAAGACCTTGTCTTAAAAAGAAAAGAAAAGAAGAAAGAAATGGAAGAAGGAAAGGAAAGTAAAGGAGAGGAGAGGAGAGGAGAGGAGAGGAGAGGAGCTGACTGTATAGCTCAGTAGTAGAGTGTTTGCCTGGCACATGTAAGATTCTGGGGTCAATCCCCAGTACTGTAGAAAAGCCAAATAGGGCTGGAGAGATAGCTCAGCCGTCTAAGAAGCTGCCTGGAAAGCTCAAGAACCCAGGTTTGATCCTGGGTACCACATGCTGTGTCAGCCCCAGCACCCCAGGGCATGCTGTGCTGTGCAGGCTACTAAAATAGTGGGTGGTGGCACCCACCTGTAATCCCAGTGCTGGGGAGGCTGAGACAGGAGGATCACTACGAGTCCAAGCTGCATAGTGAGACCCTGTACCGAATAAATAAATAAATAAATGATTTTTTAAAAACAAATGGGAAAAAATAGCAAATCAGCAAATCAAAAGCTTCAAATAAAACCAAATAAACAAAAAAGTACTCCAGTTCTAGAGGAGGCTAGTGTATAGAGAACAGGTCAGGGTTTATGGTAGGTACAGAGATAGCTGCAACGGGTGGTAGCGGGGTGGCTTTGGGGGAGACAATACTTCCTTGCAGCGGTGGGTGTGTGATTGCTTGCATTTATCAAAGCAGGGAAAACCGGATGCCAAAGGGAGGAGTGTTACTGCATATAAACTTAAAAATAAAAAATAACAAATGGAAATAAAACCTTTCATCCTGTTGGAAGTGGTTAGATTCACAGCGCAGCTGGAGGGGTTGCAGGAGGATGGGGAAACTGTCTTTTCAAAACTAGTAGATTCCAGAGTTGAAATGAGGGAAAAAAGTTCTTTTTTCAGAATGGAAATGATTTGTGTTTTTCAGCATATAGTTAATAAAAATTTAAAAACCTGTAAAATATAAGAGTAGACAGGGATGAAGCTGTTATTTACATATAGTTCTTATGGGACAGGGATTTAGCTCAGTGGCACAGCACCTGCCTGGCAGATGTGCGGTCCTGAGTTCGATTCCCAGTATCCATCTCCCTTCTCTCAGGGATGCAGTCTAGGTTGGCTAAAAGCCAACAAGTGCTGCATGGCAGGGGCATGCTATGACTGTCATAGCAGGACATGTTGTCACTTTACCCTGAGTCACTTCCAGGAGGCCCAGGGCTCTGAGGGGGTAGTGTGCAGATGCCCTGCTCTAGAACAGTTGATGTTCACAGGACCTGAAGGGGGCCTCTCTGGGAAGTGGGGTGCCCCAGACACCAGCATACTCTGAAACCGCTCTCTGTCCGAGTCCTCACACAGATCAGCCTTTTGTCCCCCTATGGGGAGAGTGAGACGTGGTGGGGAGGGCAGTGTGCTGGGACTCAGGCTGTGTCCCCAGAACTCCTGCCTTTGGACTGGTGCTAATGTGCTTCCTGCCCCTTTCTCCCCCACCCCGACTCTTTCTTCTGTGCAGCCTTCCAGTACCCACAGCTCAACTTATCTCAGTTACTGAAGTCCTCTTGGGTCAGAACAGGTACGTCTCACTGAAGTAGTGTTTTGAGAACATTCCGAATAAGAAGTCTGTGTGGGTCCATTGAGAAGGACCCGCCTTTCCTGTTGACTAAAATCAGGGCAAAATGTACTTTATATTCTTGGCAAAGAATGAATTGAGAAAAGGGTTCCAAGGGGCTGTGGGAACGTGTCCCGTGGAGTGATGGCCCGAAAAGCATTGGTCTTCTGTGAAATTCACACATCAAGTGCGGGACAGAGTCTCACTGGGAAGGACAGCTTTTGACCCAGAACAGGGTGAGGCTCAGAAGCAAAGATCTTTTATTCCCTAAAACTGCTATTTGGGCGGCTTTCTAAGGGTGATGAAGGTAGCGTGGCAAGCCCACTCGGGACCTGTTCAGATGCTCAAGGGTGCTGCACAGAAAGACCACCTGACCGGGTCCTGGGAGCCTGACAAGCTGCACAGTGCCTGCTCACGGGGAGATCTCCACTTGTGGGATCCCCAAGGCTCACAAATTCCTACTTTACATACAACTTCCCACGCTGGGGGCCACCCGGTGGGTGCTGCCGGGGCCTCATCTTCTAGATAATTTTCCTAGTCATGAAGGGATCTGGCCATGGTTTTGTCAGAAAGAGGACCGCACGTAGGTGTGGCTGAACGGTGCTTGCCGTTTCCATCTTGCCCAAGCTGATTTGCAGATAATCCCTCTGGGTGATCCGAGACAGATAGCTGAAGATGGGCAGATACCCGTTCCTCAAATTAGTTTGCGAGTCTGTCTTAAGACAAGATAGGGGCTTGGGCTGCTTCCAGAAGTTCTGAGATAAGTACAGATGCAGAGCGTTTGATCTGGGGTAAACTCTGTTCCAGGGTGCATATAAGACTGAATTCTTGGGGCTTTCAACCACCCTGTAACAGTAACCGGGGAGCTGCAGTCAGTAAAAGGGGCTTCCTAGATCCTCCTCACCCTGTTTTGGAGCTTCTCTCCATGTTAACATTGCCTCTAGGGGCCAGTTTAGTTTTATACACACATGCACACATATCCACCCACACATACATGCACGCATGCACACACGTATGCAAGACGCACACACACATGCACTCACATACGCATGATGCACACATGAATGCATGTACACATGACACATGCATGTAGCATGCACACACACACACACACACACATGCACACATGCCTCCTCTCTTCTCCTTTCCCTCACTGACTTGCTTCGGGTGCCGTGTGTTCCCTGTTGACCGCAGTCCTCCTGGGCGTCGTGGAGAAGCAGCTGCAGAGTGAGGTGTTCCAGGCGGAGATGGAGCGCAAGCTGGCGCAGCTGCTCAGCGAGGTGGCCGCCCGCAGGCGCGTTTGGAGGAGGGCCACGGTGGCCGCCGGCAACAGCGTCGTGCAGGTACTGTCGGAGGAGGGGAGGAAGATACGGGAAACCTGCTGTTTCATCCTGCGAGTGGGACATGCCAGTGGATTTGGACAGGACTGATGCGGCAGTAGTAGGGGTCAACCAGTGTCCGGGGTACTATTAACCAGATCTCTACGAAGTGGTTGTTTCAGCCTTACACCTTTAGAACATAGTGGAAGACCTGTTACCGGGTTCCCATACAATCGCATGACCTTTGTTAGAGAGCAGCTTTTTAGTTGCTAAAAATGTAGCCAAATGTGGAATGGTAAGTATCAGTGATAGCACCTTAGCGGTGAGTCCCTCATCTGGAAAAGACCAAGAGGTAGAAAGAGGCGTGCTGGCTGGCTTGCTTTCTTGCCTTTTTTTTTGAGACAGGATCTCTCTGTGTAGTCCAGGTTGGCCTCGAACTCTGTGATCTCTTGCCTCAGCCACCTGGATTTCGGCATTACAGGCGCAGCCGGTAGGGTTGCATTCGCCCTCTATCCCAGCCTTTCATCCCCTCCTCACTCCTGCCAACCCAGTTATCTCCTGTTTCCCCAGAGCTTCACTGTGGTCAGTTGTGGGCAGGTTGCAAAAGACAGAGTTGTTTGAATTGAAAAGTGACCTGTTGGGCTGGTGAGATGGCTCAGTGGTCTAACGCACCTATTTAGAACAAGCTTAGCAAAGCACAGGGACTGCGGTTCGATCCCCCAGCACCACATGGCAGCCAGCCCCGCCCCCAGGTGGGCTGAGCTGGCCACAAAAAATAAATAAATAAAGTTGAAACATTAAAAAAAAAAAAAGAAAGAAAAAGAAAGAAAAGTGACCTGTTTTACAATGCACATGCTCCCAGGAGGCCGGAGGTGAGGGCTGGAACTTATTCCCATCTCCTCATGTGTGTTGTAGATTTGTTTTCTCTACCAACTGCAGACTTGGAGGGCCAGGAAAATGAAGGGATGCTTAGGGCTGTGGCATCTCAGAGCTGGGACACAGGGTGAAGCTCAGAGGTGCAGGGTGGGGCCGACCAGCAGGCTGGGTGGTGGGTGGTGTAGCGCGCTGAGAGGAAGATGCCGAAGTGACATCAGGGAAGACCAAGGGGGCAGCTTTGTCTAGAATTGACATCTCTTTTACCACGATGCTCTGCTTCCCCTAAAGCAGCTCCTCTGCCAGTTCCAGAGACTTTAGAGAAATGTCCAAACTTAATCACTGAGAGGAATCATGCAGCAAACAGGCATAAAACAAAGAATAAACATTAAAATGAATTATAAAAGCTTGGTCTTACTCAACAGTCCTTGGCTCTGTAGAGCTTGGGATCTGAGAATGGTGAGCTCATGCCCATCATGAAACCTTAGGGCAGCACCAAACTGTGTACCAGGAAGCCACATCCAGGATGTGGGAACTTAAGACAGAAATGCAGCCCAGGGAATGGTGCTGTGGGGCAGATTGCTTATCAACCACGTTCTGAGACTGGGAAGATAGCTCAGCAGTCTGAATGCCTGCTTGGTAAGCACAAGACCAGGGTTCAATACCCAATTCCGCATGCCATGGCGGCCCTGGAACGCCAGGTGCACCGTGCTGGCCACTGAAACTGGATGTGGTGGTGTACGCCTGTAATCCCAGCGCTGGGGAGGCTGAGGCAGGAGGATCACTAGGAGTCCAAGCTGTGTAGTGAGACTCTATACCAAATAAATAAATAAATATATTTAAAAAAATTAAAAACCAAACAGCATTCTGTGAGCAAAGGTGGAGATGCAGGCGAAGAACTACGTACGTAGTGCCGGGCTCCCCTCCATGTCAGTGTGAAAATATCGCCAGCCTAAGTGGTTGGAGAGTGGATAAATAGTATCCCTTTCTGGGGCTGGTGAGATGGCTCAGTGGTCTAAAGCACCTACTTAGAACAAGCTTGAGCAAAGCAAAGCACAGGGACCGCGGTTCAATCCCCCAGCACCACATGCCAGCCACCCCCGCCCCCTGGTGGGCTGAACTGGCCACACACGTGCACACACACACACACACACACACACACACACACACATAAATAAATAATAAAATAAAAAAAATAGTATTCCTTTCTATGTTGGAATATGGTACAGCCTTTAAAAATAATAGTCATAAATGAGAAAATGATGAAGAGAGGCTGATAGAAGGATACTGGCAGTGGAATCCAAAAATTAACAAAGTTCCTGGGGAAAAGAATCCAAAATGTGGGCCAGTGAGATAGCTCAGCCGATTAAAGCACCTATGTAGGCAAGCTCAGGCAAGTGCAGGGACTGGGGTTCGATCATGCTGCGCCAACCCCGCCCCCAGGGTGAGCTGAGACAGCTAGAGTCCGGGCTTAGTGGCACATGCCTGTAATGCCAACCCTGGGGAGGCTGAAAACAGGAGGATCACTATTATTCCAAGCTGCATAGTGAGATTCTGCAACGACCAAATACGTTTTTAAAAATGCCAAAATGTTTATAGTGCTTTTATTAGTTAAATGTCGGGGGATTCTCTTTTTTTTGTTTATACTTTTTTTGTACAGGGGATTGAACTTAAGACCTTGTACTTGCCAGGGGGCTGCTTGTGCCGCTCAGCTATCTCCCGGCCCTGCATGTGTTTTTCAGAATTTTATTAATGGGCCATATAATGTCAATAGTGAGCATGTGATTTGGGTCAGAAGCTAGTGTTGTGTGTTGCTTGCTTGTTTTGTTGTTTTGTGGGGATCAGATCTCATGCCTGTAAGGCAAGTGCTCTACCACTGAGCTACATGTCCAGCCCCAGACCTAGATTTTGAAGATGAAATTGAAAATGTTACCCAGAGTGCTGACCCTGGGTTACCATGGTTCCAGACATGAGTCTGATTTACAGTTATCCGGAAAGGTTGCGGGAATTAGACTTCCTCGTGTCACCCTGAGACTACAGAGGCTTGTAGACGCTTTCATTTCTATATGAAGAAACCATACTTCCTAAATTTATCAGAACTTTTTAGTAGAATGGGGGAAGGTTAGGTAGATATCATCCACTAAATTTTCTGTAGCTCTTTGACAGTGTTTTATTGTATGGCTAGGAACACATTGCTCCAGCACGCGGTGGGGCAGGGGTGGGGTGGGGATTGGGAATCTGGAAACCCCAAGCACAGAGCAGGGCAGAGGGTGAAGACTGGAATACACTCTTGAGGACTCGGAGTTCAGGCCTGTGTCCTGAAGGCTCCTCGGACGCGATATTGAAGAAAGAGTTCGCAGCGAAATCAGGAAATTGCCCGAAGTTTTCCCAGAGCCAAGGGTGGGTCCAGCTGCATTTCCCAGAGCGCAGGGCAGTGGCACAAAAATATATATGGATAGAGGAGGAGCAGGTGCGTGTTGCCACCAGCAGGTGCACAGATCAGAAATTCCAGTTGCATGTGTCAGATAAAGTGCGTGTTAGTCTGTTTCCCAGAACATGAGCCCCAAGTTTTTGTACTGGGGATTGAACTCAGGACCTTGTGCTTGCCAGGCAGGCGCGTAAGGTGCTGGGCTATCTCCTTGGTCCAAGCATACTAAGTACTGATATGAAAGGACTGTTCTGTAACACATACACGTGTGTGTGCGTGTGTGCGCGTGCACACACATACACACACAGAGAAGTTTTAGGGTAAATCATAGAGCTCTAGTTGGCCCACAAGAGCATGAATTTATGGAGTTAACTATGTCTGGAGACACTGTGATTGTCACCTCGGGCGGGGTAGGGAGGGCAGGGTGTTACTGGCCTATTGTGGGTGGAGAGCTGAGATGATGCTGACATCCTTCCATGGTCTTTTTTGTCAAAGAATTGTCTACCCAGAGTAGCTGTGCTTCTTCTTTCTTTTTTTTTTTTCTTTTTTTTTTTTTTTGCAGAACCAGGGATTGAACTCAAGGCCTTGCACTTGCCAAGGAAGCACTTATTCTACTGAGCCGTCTCCCTGGCCCTTAGCTGTGCTTCTGAGGCTTTGGGGGAAGTAGCATTCATTGGTGCAAGAATGGATTAGGAAGAACCATTTGTAGGTGGAAGGACGGCGTCACTATCTTGTGACACAGTGGTCTGCTGGGGCTCCTTAACAGTTGCAGGCTGCCCGCACGTATTCCACTTGTCTCGCTGAGTGCATGGTCCTGGAGAAGTCCCTGAGTGGGGCAAAGCTCTTTTGCATTGTGCACAGAGGCACTGTCACGTGTGGTCTCTGTTCCCGTCCAGGAGAGCCCTGTGACCTGGGGCTCTTGTGTAGGGAGCTTATGAGGGCTGGAATTGTTCCTGGTGACAGTCAGGGTTCAGAGGTGCGAGAAGGGGCGTGTGAAACCTGAGCTGACCTCCGCTGGCTGCTGTGGCCTTGCAGGTGGTGAACGTGTCCAGGCTGGAGGGCGAGGACAATCCCGTGCAGCTCATCTACTTTGTGGAGGACCAGGATGGAGAGCGACTGAGTGCCACTGCGTCCTCTGACCTGATGAACAAGATTGACCTCCAGAGAGCAGCCATCGTCCTGGGATACCGGATTCAAGGCGCTCTCGCCCAGCGTAAGTCTGGCAGTGTGTGGTCTACACTGTTCTCCCAGTGAGCTCTGAATGCGCAGGGTTTCGATGTGGGTACAGTAAATTTGTGTCTAAAATCTTTAAGAATAGCCACTATAGGGGCTGGTGAGATGGCTCAGTGGTCTAAAGCACCTACTTAGAAGAATAGCCACTATATGTAAAAAAAAATTATTTATTTTTTTTAGTTCTTGGGATCTAATCCGGGCCACTTTGCCATTGGCGTACATCTTTGTCCCTTGTTTTGTTTTGGTTTGGTTTGAGATAGGATTGTGCTAAATACCTCAGGCAGAACTTGAACTTTCGATCCTCCTGACTCAGCCTCCCTCACTGCTGAGATTACAGGATGCCTGTTGTTGAAGTTCATTTGCTGAGACCTTTCTTTTTCCCTGTCTTTTTTTATGTATTTAGTACAGGGTCTACAGGGTGTCACTACACAGATTGGACTCATAGTGATCCTCCTGTGTTCAGCCTCCCAAGTGCTGGGATACAGGTGCACACCACCACGCGCAGTCTCATTCGCCCTCTCAGCGTGCCCTGGGGGGCGGGGCTGGCACGGCATGCCAGGGATTGAACCTCTGTCCCTGTGTCTGCCTAAGCATGTGCTTTAGTCCGCTGAGCTATCTGGCCGGCCCTGCTGAGACCTTTTTAACACACATTCCATTTGCTTACTATCGTGGCCTGTGCCAGTGTGTTTCCTACTCAGCGTTTTGTATCCGCGGAGTTGCAGTGAGTTATAGTACCTGACATCAACTGATTTTTCTTGTCCTTTTTTGTTTTAGACAGGGTCGCACTATGTAACCCAGGCTGGCCTTGAACTCACTATGTAGCCCAGGCTGGCCTCAGACTAATGGTGATCCTCCTGCCTCAGCTTCCTGAGGGCTGGGATCAACTTTAACATCCCTTCTCCAATGCCTGTACCATTTCTCTTTTTAAAAACCTTGTTTTAGGTAAAATAAGGTGCTTATTTTGCTTCTATTCCAAAATCCTCTGTGTCATGTTCTGATGGTTGGTGGGGACAGTGAGTCATACAGGAAGCTGGGAGGAGCACGTTGGGTTTATTGGCTTCCTTCAGGGTCTGCAAACACAAAGAAGTCCTTGATCCTCACCCTCTCCGGTCGCGCCTCTCTCCCACCCCGTCCTCACACTGCTGCTCAGTCCAGAAAGGGGTATTTTGCTGCTTTTTTTTTTATTATTGTTGGAAGGGTCCTGGCTTCTGCCCACCGGGCGGTGACTGCTTCCACTGCCTCTTTTCCACCTTTTCAAATTTTGGAAACACATTCAAAATGAAGGAAAAAGGGCGGCACAAAGCGCATTTCTCCACTGCGACCTCTCTGAACCAGCCTGCTGTTTCACCGCAGATGCTTTTCCTCTCTGGCCCTTGGAAGAGCACAGTGAAACTTGCCGCCAGCCAGAAAGGGTTCGGGCAGTGCCTCAGCATCTGAGAGTCCTGAAAAACTCCTTGCTGAGACTGCAGGAGACCAACAGTTTTGAAAACAAAAACAAAACAAAACAAAACAAAAACCACACAAAACCTGGCAACTTCCAACTTATCCTCGGTAGTGGGAGGGTCTCTCCCCATTTGGTGCAGTGACAGGGAGAGGGCAGACCCCTGGGCAGGTGGTGCTCGAGTATTTGAGATCCATCAGGGCAGGAGTGCTCTGTTCAGAGCGGTGGGAATGCGCAGTGCCAGCACTGCCTGCCATTACGCTGTGGGTGACAGTCCTGTCTGTCAGAGGCCTCCCTGCACTGGACACCTTAAACATGGGTGGCTTCTGCTAGATAGGGGCGCTTGCGAGCCACATCCCCTCTGGTCTTGCCCCTCTCTTTGCTAGTTTTGTGTTGGAAACCACATGGGCAACCGTTCTGGGACATCAGGGCTGGTGGCAGAAAGAAGCCTCAGCCAGCGCCGTGTAGCTCTGGGGACACTGGCGTCAGGCCCTAGCTTTCCCCCATGTCTGCCTCTCTGATGTTTCATTAGGTTAGAACTAAGAATGATACCTCTCCCCTCGCTGGTTAATGCTGCCATTACTTATATTGTCAGTTGTTTTGTGCAGAATGAGCTACAAATATGAATTAAATTGAGGCTGAATTTTAAAATAATCGGTTTTTAACACTTAGTCACTTTCTCCTGTGTCTCCTGTAGTCTCTGCTATAATTTCTGCCTGTCTCATGGTCTGAGTGGTACAAAATGCTTCTCTGTTGCTGTTGCTGTGGCTCTCTCAGCATGTACCTGCCCCAAGAATCTTTCCAGTTATTGTATCTTCAAGCAGAGATGTTTGGACCCCAAGGCAAGGATTAGCTATTGCAGGGTATGAAGAAGCATAAGACAGTCCCAGCTCAGATGCTAAGATGTATGTGGACAGAGCAGACCTGGTATTGGTAGATTAATGTGCAGAGTGGTGCAGTGTATCAAGCTGATAAATCTATGTAATAAGTGTTTTAAAAGAAGAATAAGGCACCATCTGCAAAACAAAGACAAGAAGAACAAAAGACTTTAGACACAGAAGAAATTAATAGTGTTAAGAAGCAGCCATAGGGGATGAGCCGGTTAGGTAGAAAGAGGGGCTTTTGGTTCATATAATTGGGCCTGAAGGGGAGAAGCACTGAGGTTCATGGGAAGCACAGAGGCTTATGGGAAGCTGAGTCTAAGAGAGGAGGAACCCAGGACACAGAAGATACAGGGTGCTATCCTGGGAGCAGAGGTGGTCAAGGAGCCAGTGAAATATAATCGGGGCAAGACTGTCCAAGGTGTGAAAGATGAGAAGGCTGAGTAGGGGTGAGTGGGGGGTGGCAGCCCCAGTTATATGAACCCAAAGCCCCTCTTTCTACCTAACCTCCTCATCCCTAATGGCTGCTTCCTAATGCTATTAATTTCTTCTATGTCAAAGGAATAAAATTTTCTTTCATTTCATTAAAAAGTTGAAATTGGTATCTGAAAGCAGTTTCCATTAAAGTGCATGTTTTGGGCTAGGCGTATAGCCAGTGGCATAAGCGCCTGCCTGGTAAGTGTAAGGTCCAGCATTTGATCCCTGGTACCGCAAAAAGAAAAAAAATGCAGGTTTCAAAGTCTCAGAAGAGGAACTGAAGGTAGTGCCCATGAACTAGGACTTCAGTTCCAACCTCAAAGCTCCTAGCGATCCTCCTGTTTTCAGCTTCCCCAGTGCTGGGGTTACAGGTGTGCACCACCATGCCTGCACTTGGTAGCTGGTGCAGTGCGCCTGAGAGTGGGGCTGGCACCGCATGTGGTGTGAAGGATTGAACCTCGGTCCCTGCGCTTGCCTAAGCAGGTGCTTAGTCTGCTGAGCTATCTCGCTGACCCTTCATTTTTACCACTTTTGACTGTGACTCAGCGGCGTTAACTGCATTCCCAGGATTTGCATGCGTCCACACAGCCCATCTCAGAGTCTTTCTCATGCTTCCAAAAGAAACCCTGCCCATTCAGTGAGACCCTCACTCACACAGCCCAGTCCTGGCCACCTCGGTCCTGTCTGCATCTATAAATTTGTCTATTCTAGCTCCCTCATTGAAGTGGATCATCTGTTCTTTATCCTTTTGTGTGTGGCTTCTCGCACTCAAATTCCCAGGGTTTCTCCCTGTTGTAGCATAGATCAGAATTTCCTTTTTAAAACCTGGATGATGTCTGCTGTACGGATGTTGCACGTTTTCTTTCTGTGCTGTCCTGTGCGTAGGCACTTGGGTTGTTCCCACGTTGGGCTCCCGTGATCAGTGCTGGCGTCATTGTTCAGCTGTTGAAGTGGTGATGCCTGGTAGCCCGTGTGCTCACACCTTAGTTGTTCCTCTTGGCGTACGGCACTAACAGGACCAGCATTGTAACATCATTTAGCGATTTGTGTCCTCAGTGATCCCATCTTCCCTCACTGGAATCTGTGTGCCTTTTGCTTTATTTTGTTTGTCATAGAGTCTTTCGATATAGTTCAGGCTGGCCTTGAACTCACTATGTAGCCCGGGCTGGCCTTAAAATCATGGCAATCCTCCTGACTCAGCCTCCCAAGTGCTGGGATGACAGGTGTGTGCCCCCAGGCCTGGCCAGGTATGCGCTCCTTGAGGGGCTTGTCTATTTTTTTATCCTTATCTCCTGCCTTTATAATTGTGTCTTGCCCGTAAGAAATGCTTTTAGATAAGTAGGGGAGTTTGGTGGAGATGAGGATAGGTGCGGACATCCGTCTCTGAGCCTCCTAGTTTTGGCTCATGCACCCATAAGACCTGGGAGACTGTGAGTCCTTGCTGTGCTCTGTGAAGTGACCACCACTTTCTTCTGGAGGTGGAGCTGCTTTTTTCTTTCATTTGTGAAGAGAACTGCTTTTGACAGTGTTGCGCAGGAGCGTCTGTGGTATGGAAACGTCCTGCAGTGAGAACTTCAGGGTGAACTAGTAGGATAAAGTACAAGTCAGGAGGCCCAGCGTCACCTGAGCTTTGCCATGAAGGTAGCCCAACCCTTTAGATGCATCTCACACATTGTGGCCCTGACGTGTTCCACATGTGACCTTCGGAGTTGCATGTGTTTGTTGTGTCACACCTCCCGCCATCCTGTCATCTTGTCTTGAGCGGAAATGACGGGTGTCTCCAGCTTTCTCATGGAAGGAGGCCCCGACCGGTGTGTGCATGGGCATCGCTGACACCCTCTGCTGTCTCCTCTGCAGCCGTGGACAGGGTGAAGAGGCCGTCGCCGGAGTCCCAGAGCAACAACCTGTGGATCATTGTTGGCGTGGTCATCCCGGTGCTGGTGGTGACTGTGATCATTGTCATCTTGTATTGGAAACTGTGCCGCACAGACAAGCTGGACTTTCAGCCTGACACCGTGGCCAACATCCAGCAGCGGCAGAAGGTAAGGCCAGCCTCATGACGTTCCCAGGAGCAGTCTCGGGAAAGAGGCCATCTAGGCCCCTTATACTAAAGTCAGAGGAGGGGCTGGTGAGATGGCTCAGTGGTCTAGAGCACCTACTTAGAACAAGCTTAGCAAAGCACAGGGACCGCGGTTCCGTCCCCCAGCACCACATGCCAGCCAGCCCTGCCCCCTGGTGGACTGAGCTGGCTACACACACACACAAATAAATAAAATTAAAACAAAACAAAAAAAACCCAAGAGAATGTTTTAAAAAAAAAATAAAAATAAAAATAAAAAAATAAAAAAAAATAAAGTCAGAGGAGCGCTTGGGCAGGAAGCCTTCTGGATTGGAGGGAACTGCCTTCTACCCAAACCCAGTCCTTCCGTAGTGGTGAGTACTGTATATCCCAAAGACGCGGAGTTGTACAAAGGCTTAGGTGTGCTATGAGTCTAGATCCACCATGATTTTATTTTTGGAAGGCTTAGTTGAAGATGATATCCTTCCTGTGCGTGAATTCTGATGTATTTCACTCCTGGGTATTTTCAGAGAATAGGGGTCAACAGAAGGTTTCTGAGATTGGTGTGTTTAACTCTTGCATTAAGAATTCCCCTTCGGTGACTCCTTTCTGTGCCGTCCAGTGGGTCGGAAGCCCACCAGCCCACCTGACCTAGCCTGCTTACCGTTAACAATGGGTATATGGCCCTTAAACACTGTAGCTTCAAATGCCTGAGTGGCATTTATTTGCTGGTCTTTCAATGTATCCCAACTTGTTTGTTCTGTTTTGAATGTTGGTTTACAGAGAGGAGCTCTGTGTGATCTTTCTCCTAACAGAAAATACCCATCATGTGTCAGCTGCAATTTCCAATTCCGGCTTCTTTAGGGAACAGCAAAACAATCTGAGCCCAAAACCCTTGATTTTTTTTAGCACCTCTTTCCACCCTCTACTCCCAACCCATGGTTTTTAAAGAGTTGATTTGTATACACCTAAGTTGACAGCAATGCTGTCTGTCTGTCTGTCTTTCTTTCTTTCTTTCTTTCTCTTTCTTTTAAAGAAACCCATCTTTCGTCTGTGTTTGCAAAGCATTCAGTTTAGTTTTTATGGAAAAAACAACTCTCTTTTCGCTTGTACGTTTCCACTGTTTCCAGACAATTTGACTGTCAATTCTGGGCCAACAACTGACTTTGGGGCAGCGTGTGGCTAGGCTGGGCTGAGCAAAGCTATGCCCGTCTCTGGCAGAACCACTAGCGTCAGATGTGTAGCGCAGCGTGTGTGCCAGGCAGCGCACTTCCGAAGGGAGCAGGAAGCGGGCGTCAGTCTGCTGTGTTAATTACCTGTGCCCGCTACACATCTAGACACAGGGCTCACTCTGCTTTGCAGGTTGAAGAATAGGCAGCAGAAGGCGAAAGAACAAGGAGAAAATCTTGCCCTAGAAGCCTTCTCTTTTTAAAAATTTTAATTTGTGTGTGTGTGTGTGTGTGTGTGTGTGTGTGGCCAGCTCAGCCCACCGGGGGTGGGGCTGGCTGGCATGTGGTGCTGGGGGATTGAACCGCAGTCCCTGTGCTTTGCCAAGCTTGTTCTAAGTAGGTGCTTTAGACCACTGAGCCATCTCACCAGCCTTAGAAGCCTTCTTTTATTCACATTAGTTTTAATGTTATTTTTATTAGCAGAGCTAGCTATATACGCTCACGTATTTGTCTTTTGCCTATTTTTACTTTTTATTTTACAGAAAAAACAAAACCATACAAGCAAATAATAAAATAACAAGAGTTATTGCCCGGTGTATCATTGTCTTCAAAGTGGTTACTCAGAGGATAAGCCATAAGCCAAAAGATGGTTACAAAAGAGAAGCAGATAATAGCACAACTATTTTTTTCTTAGCAAACTAAGATAAACTAGTATTATAAATGAAATCGACTGGCATCTTGTAACCTTATTAAGCTTATTCTGTGTGTCGGTATGAAGAATTCTTGCTATTACAATCCTTGCCCAGTTGAATGAAAAAAAAGTTTTATTTTTAAATTAACTTTGCTTTTGTAAAAGGGATTTCTTAGGCAGTTACAATTATGAGCTCTTGATTAAATTGCAAGTATATGGCTATGCTGGAAGTACTCTGTGCATCAGTGCTGTGTTTACTGCCTGTCTTCGTTATTGCCTACATAGCCGGCTCAGGGTGTAGTGTTGTTGTCGTGTCCATGAACAGCCTGGAGGAAGTCCTCAACATACCGAATGATTCATAGTGTGAAATTCATTACAGTAAAATCCACAATAGGTTGGGAAATATTTTTTGTCCAAGTGCAAAGATATTGTTTCAGGGAGATTTCACCAGGGCCAAGGACGGTGCGTTTTGGGCTCTTCTGGTCTGCATTCCCTGACCTCCCCAGCCTCCTGGGCTGGCAGCCCATCCTTTATCAGTGCTGCAGTGAGCGACCAGGGTCAGCGTGTCTGGGATGAGCAGGGTGTTCCCCACGCTCATGCCTTTTCTCACTTCTCCCTCTGAAATATTTCTGCGCACCGCGTGAGTCGAACCAGCAGAGCTGCGAATGGAACTTACAGGCCTCCGAGTCGTTCTTTGCCTTCAGGTGCTGTGAGGCGGCACACACGGGTTCCCACCAGCCTGTGCCGGCCAAGGCCTTGGGCTCAGAGCTTCCTGGAGTGACCTCACCAGTCTGCAGGAGCAGAGACTGGTTTTGCTGGTGCAGGAGCCCGCCGTGTAGGTCAGGACAGGCTCCCTACTTCCGCAGTCCTGTTCCAAGGGTGCGCGGCAGTCGTGAAGGGCCTGCAAGTCCTCGTCCCCGCATCCTGTGGCTCCTTTCCTATTCTGAGCTTTCTGCTTGCTTTCTCCATCCTGCTCACCCTATCCTGATGCTGCCTTGCGCTACTCTCTGCAATCCTTTAGCAAATCCAGAGCAGCAAACATCTGGAAGTAATAAATCTGCTGACCTACAGTCCACACTCCTTCCCCCTGTAATGAGGAGACCTCCTCAGGTTGTCTGGGAGCAGATTCTTTTTGAAATATGAGAGTGGGAGGGGCCATCTGTCGCATGCTGAGGCAGGGCCCTTCTTTTCTTCTCTTTTGGTAAAGATTTATTTCCTTGGTACATGGTCTTGCTAAACCGCTTGGACTTACAGTGATCCTCCTGTCTTGCCCAGCCTCCCCAGTGCTGAGATTACAGGTGTGTGCTGCTACATCCAGTTTCAGTGGCCAGCATGGCATGTGGTACCGGGAATCAAACCTGAGTCCTTCCGCTTGCCATGCAGGTGCTCAGACTGCCGAGCTATCTCCCTGGCCCAAGGAAGGGCCCTTTCTTATTTCCAGTAAGACAGAAAAAAAAACACAAAACCGTGTATTTTTCCTTTATCTGTGGTTGAGAGTAATTGTTACTTTTGCCCAAAAGCCCTAGCTTTGATGCTTTTTTCCATGAATGCTATCAGCTGGGTGTGGTGTGCCCTGTGGAGCTTGCCCTGGTGCTGGGCCAGTCCACACCCAGTTATAGGCCAGGGGATCAGGGCCCCCTTGTGGCTGGCACCCTCACTTGCTCCTGATGTTGGTGCTGCAGGCAGCCGGAGAGAGCTGGCCTGGTTCACGGATGTCCAGACAGAAAACTTCTGGGCCAGCACAGCCAGGCCAAGTGACAAACGCACAACACGTGACCTCTGCCTCCAGGGCAAAGGATGAGTCCTGTGAGAGCTGATTTATAGCCTATGTCTCCTGAGAGCAGGTGTTGCTGGATGGGATGGGAGAGATTGGGGGTATGCCTTGGGCTGCGGGGGGGGGGGGGAAGCAGAGTAGTAGCTCAGGAAAGCTGGGGAGGAGGCCCAGGCCTTGGGTCTGGAATGGGTGTTGGGGGCATTGAGCAGCTGATGAAGGCTCTTCTGCAGGGACGGTTTTTTTTTTTTTTTGTATTGGGAATGGAACTCAGGACCTTGTGCTTGCCAGGCAGGCCAGCCCACAGGGACAAGCTTTTATCTACAGCAATCAGGCAGTGCAGACCCTGCATCCAGGGGACCCCTGTGAGCCCTTCTACCCTCCTGCACATGCAGCCCAGCGCCAGCGCTGCTGCTGGAGTCTGCAGGCTTTGCTGCTATTCTTAGTGGGCGGGGGTGGGGAGCTGAAGCCCACTCAGTCAGCTGCCTGCCGTGCTGCAGCTGGAGTGTCACTCCCTAGTAACCAAGGTGCCCTGCCCTCCACACTGAAGTCAGTCAGATGGCAGTAACTTCCCCTGTCCTCGCCTTCTGAGTGGAAACAGCGGGGTGGTCACGTGGAGTTTTCACAGATTTCACCAGTCTAGTAACAAATGCCGACAGTGGCAAGCGCCGCAGCATTTCACCTTTTTATGCACGCACCCTTGGGATTTGCGCTGTGGTTTCTACGGTCATCCGACTGCCGCTTCCCAGGGGCATCGGGCTAACCCTGAGCTCTGGGGACTTCATTGTGCTTTGGCTCATCTGGCTTTTGTTACATTTACGAGCCATGTGTTTCTGAATTCATCAGGCCTCTCTCTGGTTACTTGGCTGACCTGTCCTCCCAGACCTCCCTGACTTGTTGGGGGATGTGTCTTGGGGGTGACCTGTCTCCTTTGTGATATATGAAACAAAGAAAGAACAAAAGAGCCATCCTTCTACTGAAATAAGTGGGCCCTGATATGAATATTGAAGACTCTAATTAGTCTGAACTTCTCTTTTATAAAATACTCGATGAAGCCTGCTCTACATGTGGAAGCTGGGGCAGAATGCTGGCCAGACTTAGTCTAGATTTAATAAAAGAAACAGAAAAACTAGTGATGGTGGCCCTGAAAGTAGAAATGAAAGAAAATGAACAAATTCCATAAAGGGGATGAGGGTGGTCCATCTGATTTTTTTCCTTGTGTAGATGGCTCTTGTTTTGTATATAAGAACTAATTAGTTGCCTAGTTTCTATTGTTGTAAAAGGCTGCAATTTGTGCAGCGGCACGCTTGACATGTATTTAAAGATGTTAGTTGGGATGGGCAGTGAACCAAGCAGCACAGGGCCTGCCTGGCAAGCTCAAGGTCCTGAGTTCAAATCCCCATACAACAAAACAACAAACCTGTTCAGGAGTGAACCAATAGGACTGGTATATCTTTTTCTCTTTTTTTGCTACCAGTACTTGAACTCAGAACCTTGTGCTTTCTAGGCAGGCACTGTGCCACTGAGCTAAATTCCCGGCCCTGCATATTTCATTTATGACCTATGATCTTTTCTTGGTTCCTCATAAAGTACAGTAAGTTGGGTGCTTCAGCTGATCTTCCTGAAGTTCATTCACTCATGAGATACTTTTTGAAGGTCTGTTCCATGGTATATCCTGTTGCTGACTTTCAAAATAGTATCTAAATTTATGTCTAAGGGCCGGCAAGATAGCTCAGAGGATAAATGCCTGCTTAGGCAAACACTGGGAGCAGGGTTCCATTCCTGGCACTTCATACTGCGCTGGTCCTACCCCCAGGTGCGCTGAGCCGGCCACTGAGTCCGGGTGCAGTAGCGCGCATCTGTAATCCCAGCACTGGGGAAGCTGAAAACAGGAGGAGCACTAAGAGTCCGAGCTGCGTAGCGAGACCCTGTACCAAATACAGTAAATAAATAAAGCTGTATCTAAGCCTGAGGACTCAGCTGTTTATATGAACTGCTTGAGGTCTCCTCAGCCAGCAGCGATGGTACAGCTGTCAGTCATCTGTCACGTGTGTGTGGCACCCCGACCTTTTTGCAGTATTTTCACGTGTGTCATCCCCCGCGTGAGCCCTGATGGCTTCGAGGGAAGGTGTTTAGCGCCCAGACGGGGGGGGGGCCGGGCACACAGGGCTGAAAAAGCCGGCGCTGCTTGAGTCTTTAGGTTGGCAGGTTTGCGCGGAGGAGCTCATCTGTGGCTCCTCCAGGATGGCTAAAGCAAACGCCTAATGCGCTACGAGAGCTGCTTGCCTGGTCCTTAGGGGATGCTTTTCTTACTGGAAGTGTACAAAGCACGGCTTCGGTGAGGTTTAGTGAGTGGCTGAGGCTGCGGTTAGAGGATCCTGATTCTGTTGGTTGCTCTCATTCTTTCGGGAGCTACAAGGAGGTACAGCGGGGTGGAAACAATCTCCTAAAACTGGAGATTGCTTGTTGGGATTTTAACTGTCAGCCAGGAGCAATCGGTGTCAAATTTTAATTTTCTAGCCGTCATAAAAAGGCTTAGCAGACGGACACTAGAGAAATTATAGGTCTACGGGGTCTACAGGGTCTCACTACCTAGATTAGACTCATAGTGATTCTCCTGTTTTCAGCCTCCAGAGCGCTGGGATTACAGGTGTGCGTCACCACTCCCAGTCTCAATTGCTGGTACAGCATACCCTGGGGGCAGGGCCGGCACGGCATGCTGGAGATTGAACCCCAGCTGCTGCTTTCTGCCTAAGCAGGCACTTCAGTCTGCTGAGCTATCTGGCCAGCCCTTGTGATTCCATTTCAAGATGAAAATAATATTTATAATTATGTATGCCATAAAATAGGGCAGTATGTCGAAGTCTGCTAGGATCCCATACATAACATTTATTTTGTATATGTGCTTTGGTTTTTAAGAGTACGGTCGAATCTTTGTGGAAGTTTACAGCAAACAGGAAGCACTGGACTAGCAAGTGTTTGGTTTATAAAAGGCACATTTAACCAACCATATTGCTGGGTAGTTAATCAAAACCTAGTAAGTACAGAGAGTTAACAAATAAACAGAAGGCACAAGGATCCGGGAGCAAAAGACTTTTCATTATGTGGCTTGAACAGATTTACAGTATTCAGTGGTTCTTCAAAACATTCATGAAAATATCCTACAAGTCTGAGTAAATGTTCAAGAATATATGCAGAGCTATTTTAGCTGTGACATTTGTTTTTTTTATTTGAAGTTGTGATTTTGATCTTTCAAAAGTTATTATGAAACCGGGAGCCTTGGCATATTTACTGGTAATCTTAGCATTGAGGAGGCTGAGGCAGGAAGATCCCAAGTTTGAGGCCAGTCTGGGCTACATAGCAAGACAAAGCCCCCCAAAAACCAAGCCAAACTAAAACAGAACAAAAAAGCGGGCCCAGGGTGGTGGGGAAGAACAAGGACATTTTTATTCCTTTGTCCTCTGTTGTAAAATACGGGCTTGAGACTTCTATGAGGACAGGGGCTTGCAGAATTTGTAGATGTGAGGCTGGTGACCTCCTGGCTGGCGTGCATGACGGCACATGGGTGCTTCCCAGCACGATGCAGGAAGATCCTGAGGGTCCTTTCTCAAAGCAAGACAGATAGGCCCAGAGCGTCCCTGGCTGGGCCCCTCCATGGGGCAGGGCGCTGCCTTCGCCGTTTCTCACAGCAGCCCTGGCCGCTTTGCTCCCCGTCATACTTTCTTCCCCGGGAAGTGCTTGTTCTTCCATGGCTGAGAGGTGAGAGACAGAGAGCTCCACGGAAACATTCCTGCCCTGTCTGCCTCTCTGCACAGGGTCTGGATTCACAGCATCCCGGAACTCAGGACCCCAGTGATCCGTTTCTTGGCCCCTTTCATTAAAGACAGGCATGGGAGTTAGGGAAAGAGGGCGCCTTCTGTGGTCTGCGCTGTTTCCATGCTGTCTTTTCATTTGATGTCTCACAGGTGCCTACACTTCTGCACCCCAGGAAACTGCATGGGTGGCGGCGGGTGGGGGTGGGGCGCCTTAACGAGGGAGCAGCGCTACAGGGTTAGTGGGAGACGAGGGGGCGGGGCATGGAAGTCAGCTGGCGGTAAGCTCAGAAGCAGAGGCTGTTTGACCCCTGAAAAGGCAGCCTGCCGTGCCCAGGGGCTTCGTTGAAGATCCCTGTGCCAATCTAGTCTCCTGCAGCACCAGACTGAAGTTTCCTCATTGCAGAAGTCTGGAGACGCGAGGCCCAGTGGCCTGCTCCGGAAGCAGGAGCTCGCTCTCAGAGCATAGAGGTGATCAGGCCTTTTGTCTCTGAGCAACTCTTTGTAGACCACCTTTACGGTGCGTTTGTCTCCCTCTGCTGGCAGAAGTAATTATTGCAGGTCACTTCTGTCCGTCCTGAAGTTTTATGACCTTGGGTCATAAACCTAAGCCACCATTGTCACTTATTGGTGTGTACAGCTAATGCAAATACAAGAAACAGTTTTGTTTTTATATGCAATATATTGTTGAAAGTTATTCTGACTGTCTTTTGGCTCAAACACTGTTCAAGGAGGACTTTGGATACCAACAACAGTCCTTTGAGGTGACCTCCTTGGGATGATGGTTCTCTCTGTGCAGCTTGGACTCATAGTGATTCTCCTGTCTCAGTCTCCCCAGCACTGGGACCAACACGGCATGCAGTACCAGGAATCAAACCCGGGTCCTTGTGCTTGCCAGGCAGACACTTAGACCACTGCACTATCTCCCCAGTCTGGTTTCTTTACATGTAGTTTGTTTTCTTATACTTTGCAAGCTACAACAAGAATGGCATCATGAAACATGACCAAGGGTGTGTAGTTCAGTGGTAGAGCTCTTGTCCGACCTGCCCAGACACATGGTTGATGCCTAGCACTAGAAACAAAAAAGTTTCCCTCATCTCCTGGCTCACTATGGGCCCATGGTGCGGGCTCACAGGTCTGGTTGTGGGCTTGGTGTCGGTGGGGCCCTGTGTCCCCAGGGAGGACTCTGGCTCCTCCCCTGTGAGCAGGGACTTTTTCTGCACATCCTTCTCTCCTTCAACTTCTTGCCCCACTTCCCTTACTGATCTCTGCTTTCTAGAAGTTCTTTCTTCCTTTGGCTTCTGCTATCCTTCACTGTTTGAATTCTCTTGGTTCTTTGAAGTCGCCTCCTCTTTTCTCCCTTGCTTCCCTTTTCTCTCCATAGCCCTGCACTGTTAGATGTTTTTCTACGTTCTATCTCTAGATCTGTGTTCATCTGGAAAAATCCCAACTTTCCTGCTCGCCACCTTGTGGAGATTTGGCTCTAGATGTCACGACCCCTCAGCCTGAAGATCACCCGAGCTATTGTCTTCCACATGCAGCTGCACCAGGCTGCCCTCTGGGCCTCTTCTGTCACTTCATGCTAAGCAGGTTTAGAGCGACACCTGCCGCTCCTCCCCCTTGTACTCCCATTCATGCTCCTTAGCCCCACTGTTTGGGCCTGCCAAAAACTTTCAGGTCACTGCGGCTTTTTGTTCTTGCTCCTGTTTGGCTTCCAATTCCTCTGCCCACTTTCCAGAGCTGTTCCTTCCCATCTTCACTGCTAAGATTTGGGGCTTAAGCTTCTGTGGTTTCTATATGGGGTATCGCTGGGCTCTCCTGCTGGTCCCTTGGGTCTTGTCTGCTTGGATCTTAGAAATCTGCTTCTTTAGAAACATGTAGTGGTTTCCTGATTGCCTTGAGAGGTTGACATGTGCAGTCATTTAGGTGTGCAGCCCCCTACAGCCTTCCTCCTCTAGTGTGGATAATGTCATGTGCACTGTGCGAAAGAGGAGCCCTGGAACTGCTTCAGACAGTGACGAGATGATGGGCTAAGTGTTTGCAGCTGGGGGAGTATTTTGAGGGAGCTCCATGGCAATGTGTCTTTTCTGTAATACTTTTTAAAAACAATTTTCCATCACACTCCTAGATGAAAAATTCCTCTTTTCATTTCCCAGTCCAGCCTGCCGGTTCCTGTACCCTTTTTCTGTGGCCTCACCCTGCTGTTCTCTTGTGTAGTTACAGCCACACGGTTTGCCACTGTGGCAGCAGAGCAGCTGTAGCCTCAGAATAGCCTTTGCATTATGGTCTTGCTATTTAATCCTTGTACTGTTGTTTAATCTTTTGCAGACATCTGTCACAAATTCTAGGTACGAACAGGCTCTTCTACATAGCATTCTAGAGATGCTTGTGGAATTGGGCTGGTGGCATTGGCAGTGTAGTCCTGAGCTCCTCCTCACTGTGTACGCGCTATCTCTTTACTGTCCTCAGATGTCATGTTGACCGTCTCACGCGTGTGCCCGTGTGTGTGTGTTTTAGCTGCAGATCCCTAGCGTAAAGGGCTTCGATTTTGCCAAGCAACACCTGGGTCAGCACAATAAAGATGACATATTGATTATTCATGAACCAGCGCCACTGCCGGGACCTGTGAAGGACCACACCACGCCCTCGGAAAATGGAGATGTCCCAAGCCCCAAGTCCAAGATCCCCTCCAAGAACGTCCGCCACCGAGGAAGGTGATTGCGGGGCCTTCTGGGTTGTTGTGTGCTCACAGGACGTTTCTGGTTGCGGGTTGTCAGTATCTGAAGGCATGAGCCCTGTCACATGAAAACTTGTGTTCGCTCTGCTGAGCTGCCCGAATGGGCTGTGTGATCCTGCCCTAGAATGTTGAAGATCAGGCAGCGCCATTTGTGAAGGTTCGAAGTGCCTTTTAGACCCTGTCAAAATTCCCAGCCAGTGTCACCTTCTGTGCCTGTGTGCCAGTGGCCACGTATGGCTCTTTCTGCAGGTGACCTTCACCGTGGCTTCCCGGTTGCTCCCTAATTCATTCCAGCCCCCCTATCAGAACAGAACAGTGGAAAGAGTCATGCATTCCTTTTCCAAACCACCGGTAGGTCCCTTGTCACCCTATGCAACTGTGAGACCACAGGAGCTCAGGTGAAGGAGACAAAGTTCAGAACCAGGGCTTGGGAGGGGGACTGGACCATAGCGCCGCCAGGCTTTGGCTGCTGGTGACTCCAATTATGAACTCTTCATTGAGCGTTGTTGCCCCACCCGCCGATCTGCTGCTGAGCACGAAAGCATCTGGGGCAAAACCAACATTCAGAGCAATGTCATGATTTCTTTCTTATCAGAAAACCTACTCCAGGGGCCTGGCCTGGTTTTAATGACATAACGGATGTTAGGGCATATTGTTATGGAAGGCAGTGAATCATGGAGAGAGATGCTATTTACTTAATTACTTTGTCAGCTAAGAATAAACCGGATTACTAGAGATGGTTTAGTGTGCTAGTACAGCGTTGCGAAGTCTTTCTTTTCTTCCAGTAGCCTTGCCTCAAACATTCAGTTACATCACCTAGGTAATTTGCATGCTGTTGCATACAGTATTTGCATACAGTTGTCCTCTCTGCCCTCAGCTTCCGTGCCCATAGAGTCCATTGATTATGGGTCAAAACTGTTCAGGAAAAAATGGCATCTTCACTCAGCATGGGCAGACTTTTTCTCGTCATCATTCCTTAAGCAATACGACAGCTTTTTATACAATATTCACGTTGTATTTGGTATCAGAAGGCGCTTAGAGACGATAGCAAGGCTACAGGGAGGGTGGGCACAGGTTCTATCAAATGCTGTGACACTTTATATGAAGAGCTTTGAGTGTCTACGGATTTTGGTATCCGTGGGAACCCTAGAAGCAGTGCCCCATGATTCCAGGGGATAATTGCATATCTCAGACCCCTTGGGGGCCCTAGAATTTCTTATCACTCCTTACTGTTGCAGAAGCCAGAGCCTGGGTATAGAGTATGCTAAGTGATTAAGGATTTCTCCCTAACCTGGTGTGACCTGGCTACTATGATACCCTTGACTTTTTAATAAAGATCTTAATCTCAGTAGGTATCCTTACCCACCATTGTGTATGTAGGTGTCTCCAAAAAATCTGGAGTTGTTTGGGGTGACTGCAGAATCCTCCTGGCCTTGTGGAGAGCCTCAGATCCTTTTGACCACAGCCAGGTCTAAATCCCAGATTGTTTTTGATCCAGCTCAGTCCCAACCCAGATCGCCTGTCTAGAAATGGCCTGGGGCTCAGCGCTGGGCCTCGGGTCCCTGGTGCCGTGCAGCTGCCCTCCAGGCTGGTGCTTGGTTTCCTGGCTTCTGTTGCCTTGCAGCCTGCTGAGCAGCTTGGTCAACCATGTTCATCTGTCACTAGGGCACGGTGACACTGGAGTGGCTGTGTGATCCTCAGACTTCTCCATCGACCAGTTTTGCCTGGAAGCTCAACTTCCAAGTGAACGTGACCATTCCGGTTTTGTCTTTTCTTGTTCTTAATGTGTATGTTTTATTTTGTGTCTGCAGAGTTTCCCCCTCTGATGCCGACTCTACGGTCAGCGAGGAGTCCAGTGAGAGGGACTCAGGAGATAAGGCGCCAGCAGCAGTCCCTGAGGGCAAGGCCCACCGAGCCCCGCAGAGTGGTCTGTGACTTCACGTTTTCCATGTTAAAGCACCCATGTGATCCCCACAGGCCTTGATTTTAAGCCACTTCAGTTGCTAAATCTTCTTTCTCTTTTAATCTGTGAAATGGGATATGCATGTGAATTTTGTGGGTGTTCCTATGAGTTTCTCAGCATCAGTTGTCACTGTTGCGCGTTGTATTGGTATCTGCTTTGAGGTAAAGGACTGGGCAAGAGTGTTGGGGTTCACTCAGGTGCCTCTTAAGGTTAACAGCCTTGTTTCAGTCTTGGGTAGAGTCCAGATGGCTTTCCTATAGGAAAGGACAAGGCGGAACCAAATGGAAACCATAGTCGTAACATCCAGCCCCACACGTGATTTCTTAGGAGCTGCTCAGCTGTCAAGGCCAGAGAGTTCTACCCAGGCCAGTCTCCAGTCATGGGTGTGGTACTGTCGGCTCTGTCTTCCTTCAGGCAGTGTGGTGTGAGGAGATGGCCTCACATCTTTGGATTGGGGATCAGAAAGGGTGTTGTAGGCCAGGTGTGAAGTAAACCCTTCACAGGTCATTCCCTTCAAAGGTCACTACCCAAGACTCAAGCTCTGAACAAAACTATGCCCCCAGGGCTTCCCAGCCTTGGGAGTGGGTTTGGGGCAGGGAAGGATAGCTGCGTGTTTCTGCTAAATAAATGTATTGGTCAGCTGTTGCATTGGTTGGAGCTCTATTTATACTTCAGGGCTGTGTTTCAGTAAGGCAAAGATAATTGGAAAGCTTTGCCTATTGTTTGAAACAGCAGCTTTTATAGTTACATTATAAAAATCACCAATATGGAAGTGCAGCACAGAGAGAACTGTGTTCTATAGATGAATTGTGGACTGAAGCCCGGCAGCCTCTTCTGTCCCTGACGTTCCTGCGCCCCCGCCAACCCCTGAGGCTCTGGGAGAGACCACTGCCATTGCCCCTGCCGGTCCTCGAGACCCCTTCCAGCCGGTTCTTCTATAGTCTTCAGAACCTACCCCTCCTAGAAAAAAGGACGAGAGCCCTTTCCTTGGATCCAGTTTCACAGACTCTTAAAAATTACTTAGCACCATGGTAACAGGTGCCGTGTTTCAGACAGGATTAAAGGCAGGTTTTCATCTTGAGAAGGAAAGTTTGAGGGGAAGAGGACACTAGGTTTTCTCAGTGTCTGTTCATTGCTTGCTAGAGACTGTGTTGCCTTTAATCCTCTCCTTTCTGAGAGGATCCCAGCCGGTGTGTTCTACAAGGCCGACAAAAATCGAAAGAGCCACCCAGCACGGATTTAGAGGTCCAGGAGCAGGCGCTTGGGCTGCGAGGCGGGCGCCTGCTGTGCAGGGCTGTGGCTGCTGCCCTGATTAGGAAGGACGCCGGGGCGCGTGCAGCGCTTTCATGATTTAGAGAGCTGGTATTCTCGCTCTGTGCCTCAGCGCACCTGACATCATTTCCTTTTGAAAAGGTGTCCTAAGATCGCTTGAAGACTTCTGTAAAGGTGCTTTGTTGCTGGCAGAGAACCTCATTAAATATCAGATAAGCAAGATTCTTAGTTTTTCTTACAGCTTTTAGTAATTACATAATATACATAAATATGTAATATACATAAATATATAATATATAAATATGTATATAATATACATAAATACATACATAATACACATAAAATGCATTTTTTTGCAAGACAAATGGAATAAAAATCACTGGAGGTAGGGAGCTGTGTGAGAGCCATCCCAGCCCCCCGCCCTGTATCTATCACCCTGGGGCCGGTGGTGTACCTGTCCTGTGTCCCCATCACAGCTGCCAACTCGCACTCTATAGGCCCTTGGCAAGGCTCTGATGGCCATCCCAGGTCACCTGGCACTTTAAGCCCCTTTTCCAACCCCCTTGATGGACTCGCAGAAAAAACCCCACTGTTTTATTTGTGATAGATTCGAGGTTGTGCTTTACTGCCTGCCCTGCTGTTCCCGGACAGCAGTCAGAGCCTCCTAGGTGTCCCTCTGTGTGAGCTCGCAGGCGCCCTGCAGGGATGACACAGCTATGTACTGCTGAACTCACGCTCACAGGCGTGAGGACGGGTCATCCTCCTGAGGCTGTGACAGGAGGGCGGCTAAGGGGACGCCGTGTGACCTAGAGTGGTGGCTGCTCACAGGCTGGGATGCTCCTGCAGTGGCGGCCATGGTCCCTGGCTGTGGTTTCTCTCTGGCTCTCTCCCTTGTCACTGGGAGTAGCTAAGGACAGCAGAGCACCGGCTGTCTCCGCTATGCTTTCCTGAAGGTGTGGGTGTGTGAGTTGGTGATTTTTAAGTAGCTAGGCCTTTGTTCATTTCAGGTCTGCCCTCTCCAAGTTCAGAGGTTTTCATGTGGGAACTAAGCCAACTTCTGTACCTGCTAAAGCCGGCCAAGCTAATTAATATTCACAACCAGATTTCGTATGTGTATCACCCAGTTATATGTATCTGAGGAATTTGGGAGCAGCTGTTTGTTAAATGATTGGGGCTATAAAATATAGTTACCATCTTTTTACTCAGGCTGATTCGCAGACCCCTTTTTAAGAGAAAAGCCTCCCAGGCTGTGTCATGGTAGCTACAGTCAGTCAGTCAGTCAGTCAGTCCGCCCGCCAGTCAGTTATTCATTCCATGCTTGCTGAGCAGGCTGGGCTGTGTTAGTTTCAAGGGACGGAGGGCATGACAGGGAAGTGTGGTTGCCATTTCACTGGCGTGATTGTGAGCCACCAGCATTGGTAACGATATGATTTGCTGTGCTTATTTGCAAATAATGCAGTAACTGCTCCTTAAAAATATTTGTTGCTGCAGCATTTCTGCAGTGTCCTTTCTTCTGTCATTGTTTGGTTGAAATGATCCTATGTGGTCCAGTATCTTGTCCTTTGTGGGCATTAATTAGCAGAGGGTTCTTTTTTTTTTCTTTTTGTATTTAGGACAGGGTCCACAGGGTCTGTAGGGTCTCATTACGTAGATCGGACTCATAGTGATTCTCTTGTTTTCAGCCTCCCAAGTGCTGGGATTACAGGCATGCGCCGCCACGCCCTGTCTCAATTGCTGTCTCAGCACGTCCCTGGGGAGGGGCCAGCACGGCAGGCTAGGGATCAGCCCCGGCCACCGTGCTCTGCCTAAGCAGGTGCACTAGTCCACTGAGCTATCAGGCTGGCCCTTAATTTTTTTTTTCTTCTAAAACACTTGCTTATCTACAACTCTTGTTGCATAGGTCCTGCTTTACCTTGGTCTTAACCATCCAGCAGAAAAGTATAAAAATGAAATATAAGAAGTAAAGCCATGCTGTTATGTTGAGCTGTAGGGGACTCAGGTCAACAATTTCTGACATTGCCAGTCAAGCGGAAGACCCAATACTATTATGGGCTACTGAACTCTTTCAGAATATTTTGCTGAGTTTACATACCTATAATATTCAAATAATGGAACTTAACCAAGAAAGGGGATACAGATGAATGTCCATTTTGTATCTGTGTATTCAAAGTGGTTAGGATAGATATATAGTTACATTCTCTTAATGAATAGAGTGATTTGTTCTAATGGTATTAGGATATCATGTCCACATCTTGTACAGCAATTAACCACTAGGAAAAAGGTATGCAATGTGTTAATTATTGAAACTGTCCTACCAATTTGATTTGAAACTGTCTCATTGCTATTTGTTTATCAATAAAATTATGGGGAAAAAATAAATAAAAATAAAAATAAAATAAAATACTTATTTATTAAGCCAGGCGTGGTGTTACATGCCTGTAATCCTAGTACTTGGGAGGTTGAGCCAGGAGGATTGTTAAAAGTTCGAGACCACCTTGGGCTACACAGTGAGCTCAAGGCCAGCCTGAACTGCATAGCAAGACCCTGTCTCCAAAAGAAAAAAAATAAATGCTTACTTATTTTAATTGACAGGATGAAATGCATATGATGTATGCAGCGTAGAATGATTTAGGAATTTGTTTGACACAGGATATCTCACATGACTATCATTTTTTTTTTTGTGTGTGGTAAGAATACCTAAGGTCTATTTTCTTGACCATGTAGTGTAATTTCTACCATTGCTTTTTAATCCAAAGTTGGTGTTCACTGCCGGGCAGGGCTCACACAGTGTTAATCTGGTGTGCACCCTTTTCTCCTGAGCGACACTTGTGGCCCCTTTAGAAGTCTGGGTCAGCACGGCCAACCCCTTGGGCGATGCTCACACTCGCCATGTGGATGTTACGCCTGCTGCCTGAGGTATGCAGAGCTGCCTCCAGGGCATGGGCAAGGGCTGGCTGGTTGGGGTGGCACGGATGGGCTCCCTGCAGGGCCGAGGCAGGCGGAGAGTTGCTGCTGCCCCCTTGCTGGGATACTCGGAATACCTAATTCCTAGTTGTTTGGGGTAACATGATCTAATTCAAATGGAGAGAAAATAACCCTACATAGACCAACGTGCTGCAACCCTCATATTAAATATCAACTAGTGCTTCTTCCCTTTCCAGCCCTTGGTCTTTCTTATGCCAAAGAGAAAGTTCTATAATTTTCACTTTTATTTGCGGTTTTAAACTGTCAGCTTTTATTTAAAAGCAGTGTCTACTGTTTTTACTCTGCACTTGGCTATTTATTTTAAGTGTGGAGCTGAGAGTGGCTTAGGCAAGCCTGGGTTTCTGTTGATCTCGGTTTGACTGCCCGGCTGTCCACTGAGGCCCCTCCTCTTCCTCTCTCTTCTCTATCTTTTTAAAATTAAAATTGACTGGGATTACTTCTATTGTAGGTCATATTCATTAGAGAAAAACCTCACTGTAAAAATGTTAGAAGTTGGGGGAAAATCACTCATTGTACCAAGGCTAGTCTCTGTTAACATTTTAAAGTTTTTTCCCACACATTTAAATTTTTTTTATAGATATATTATCTTTTAAATCTATCTGTCTGTCTGTCTATTTGGTACAGGGTCTCACTATGCAGCTCGGACTTGTAGTGATCCTCCTGTCTCAGCCTCCTCAGCACTGGGGTTATAGGGGTGCACCACCACGCCTGGTTTCAGTGGCCAGCACAGTGCACCTGGGTTCTGGGGCTGGCACGGCATGCATGGTACTGGGGATCAGACCCGGTCCTTGTGCTTGCCAGGCCGGCACTTAAACTGCCAAGCTATCTCCCTAGCCCTACAAAGATATTATTACCTTAAAAATTACCGTAGTAAAATATACCTAAACATAAAAATTACCCTTTTAGCCATTTCTAAGTGTACTTTTTAATCTCTCTTTTTTTTTCATATTTATTTATTTTCAAAATTTTATTGATAAACAGCAATGAGACAGTTTCAAATCAAATCGGAAGTACAGTTTCAACAAATAACACACTGCATATATTCTTCTTAGTGGTTAATTGCTGTACAAGATGCGGACTTGAGATCCTATTTATTTAATTTCTTTTTAAAGTGGGAATGCATTCTGTCCACACAGCAGGCTTTTCTTCTCATGCTTCTTCAACTTTTCTTTTTACATCCCAGTTGGAAGGTGGGGAGCTCCCTTGTTCCCCAAGGCCCACGACATCCCCCAGGCCCGCTGCCTTTGGTGTTTCAGCCCTACAGTCTGCACCCAGGGATTCCACAGGCAGCTGGCCATGGAGTAAGACTAGTCAGGAAAACACGGCATCTGCCCTGAATGCATGCAGTCTTTCTGTTGGCCATCACTTCCCAGGCAGCCCCTGCTGGCGCAGCTTTTACGTGATGTTAGAATTAGAGGAATCCAGATGACTGGCAGGTTGTGCACAGGTTATGTGCAGACGCTGTGCTGTTTTGTAGGAATGACATGAGCACCCTATCTGTAGGGTCCCTGAGAGGGGCTGCTGCTTGCTGCCTTCACGACTCACAGATGCTACTTGCAAGCTTCCTCCTGATGCTGGCGGGGGTGGGGGGCAGGTTCCGAGCTGCAGGAGATGTTTTTCCTAAACACCCCACGACATCCCTTATTGACCAACTGAACAATTCCAGGTTCTTCCAGTTCTTCTCTTTTCTCCCTGCGGGTTTAAACCACATTTAGACAAAATAGGGCAATTTTTGAGGGTATAATAATGGTTCCTTCACATCTTTCCTGCATGAAACTACAGAGACAGTATTTAGCCCTGACCATTCCAACACAAATAGAGAAATTTCAAGTATAGTAAAACATTGGTTTCTTTCTTTCTTTCTTTTGGTGGTACCAGGGATTGAACTCAGGCCCTTGTGCTTGCCAGGCAAGCACTTATTCTACTGAGCCATCTCCCCAGGCCCTAAAATGTTGGTTTCTGAGCGCATAATTCATCCTCGAAACATTCTAGAAACAAGCCCATGTGTATCAAAGTGAATTTCTCCCTAAGAAATCATGGAAAACTCAGATGCTTCGTTCCACAACCCAAATATATTCATATAAAATGATTAGAATATTAAGAAAAATAAGGTGACCCTTGGAAAACCTTCATGGCTGGTACAAGGGAGGCGAGAGAGGAGGGTTACTGCAGGCTGACTTTCCCTGTCACTAATGGAATCACTGCCATCTATTGTGTCAGTGGAACCTTTTGCTTCGCATGCGACTTTAACAAGAAACCTATCCACTGACACTTGCTTTTGCTTCCTCTTGAGGCTATCATGGAGTTGGGACATTGCATTGTCGTTAAACAACTTCCTTGCTTGCACTGCTATAGACTTATTTGGGTGATGCTTTTCTACAGAATTTTGCACTGTTGCCTGCATTTTGCACTTCTCCCTACTCTCATTTGAGGTGAGGGGTTCCTCTGCCCTTTTTCTCACCCTCTTCTACAGATTCAGTAACCTCCATAACCTTCGTTAATGACCCACAATCCTGCAGAGAAAGAGAGAGAGAGAGAGAGAGAGAGACAGACAGACAGACAGACAGACAGACAGACACAGACACAGACGAGACCACTGGCTCAGCTGAGATCATGTGACTTTCCGTGTCACGCATGACTCACTGTGAGACCTGGCTGTGTATTAGAAATGTCTGCTCATCTTGCAGACACTCACAGAGCAAGTTACTTGCAATCCGAGGTTGTGCTGTACTCTGCTACCCAGTTCAGCATGTATTTTTTGGTCAGGGGCCTCATCTGAGGATTCTTTCAGAAATGCTCCTCAGTGTTGTCTCTTGAGGGTGACTTCTGGCTCACTCCTCTGTTCCAGGCCCCCGGTTGCCCAGCTCTGCCGGGGCGGAGCAGCATTCCTCAGCCTCCATCTTTGAGCACGTGGACAGGATCTCCCGCTCCTCGGAGGCCAGCCGGCAGGTCCCCAGTAAGATCCAGCTCATCGCCATGCAGCCCATCCCAGCGCCCCCAGTGCAGCACCCCATCCTGGCTGACAGGGTGGCAGAAACCAACAAAATCAACAAAGAGGTACTTGCTTTTATTCAAAAGCACATTAATTTAAAAAAAAAAAAAAAAAAAAAAGTCCTCTGATTTGGTCAGGGCTCACAGACAAGCGAAAGACACAGGGTCAGACAGTTGCTGATGGCAAGCAAGCGTCCTGCAAAACATGGCCGGTGCTTGGTTTTCATAGACCATGTAGTAGCCAAGGTCCTGTTAGGCAGAGGCGCATACGGGAGTGGCAGCTGGGGCCTGAGCCTGCTGCCTGTATGTCTACTCGGGTCCTGTGTAGCCGGCGCTGATGCGTCCATCTTCAGTGCTAGGGAACTTGTTTCCCTAAGCAGAGGAATTATCAGTAACACATTCTGTGCGTGTCGATCTCTATTGATTTTTTTTTTTTCAGATCTGGGCCTTGAACTCAGGCCCCTGCGCTTGCCAGGCATGCGCTTATTCCACTGAGCCATCTCCCTGGCCCCCTCTGTTGATTATTTTGAGACAACATCTTGCTATATAATTGAGGCTGGCCTTGAACTCACTACATGATCAAGGCTTGCGTCCAACTCCTGGGGGTCCTCCTGCCCCAGCCTCCTCAGCGCTGGGTTTATAGGCCTGTCCCATCATGCCGGGCTTGTCAGTCTCAATTGTAAAATCCCTAAAAGTAGTGATATGACTGGGTGTGATAAACACTGTTCTTGGAGCCCATTTTGTCTAGAAGATAGGTGTGTCTAATGAGTTGTCACTGGCTGATTTCTAAGATAAGTTTCTCCCCTGGGGGGGAGGATGAGCCAGGATTCCAGACCAGAATAAAGCTTTGTGCCCATCCTCTGTTGTCTCCCTTGGTTCCTACCTTGAACCTAAGGAAAGGAAGCCCAGGGTGGAGAGAAGGAGGTGGCCCCGCCGAGCTCTGTTCAGCATGGGCCCCGGAATGCCCTGTCTGTCGCTGTCTGTCACTGTCTCCTGCCTCCTGTTCCCAGATCCAGACCGCGCTGCGGCACAAGTCGGAGATTGAGCACCATCGTAACAAGATCCGCCTGCGTGCCAAGCGCCGAGGTCACTACGAGTTCCCTGTGGTGGATGAGCTGTCCTCGGGTGACACCAAGGAGCGGCACCGCGTGTACCGCAGGGCGCAGATGCAGATTGACAAGATCCTGGACCCCGCGGCCAGCGTGCCCTCTGTGTTCATCGAGCCCAGGAAGAGGTGGGCCAGGCAGGGAGATCCTGCTGCACCCTGGGGCTGGGCAGAAGGTCTCGTGAGGAGGTGCTGGGTGCTGTGCCACCACTGCCCCACCTCGTCCATCCTGGCATTGGCCCTGCATGCTCCTCAGGACCCCATCAGGCCACTTTTGAATTGATAGCCTGTGTGACCTTTCCTTTTGTGGACACCTGTGCACCCATGTGGTGCAGAGATGCCTGGTTGCTCTGCAGTCCTGGGGTTGCCAGGTCCATCCAGCAGGGTCTCAGCATCCTGGGAGCCCAGGCAGTGACCGTAGGCTGCCTGCACCTGGGGTGTGTCTCACAGTGCAGGATTTAGTTGATGAGCCCGCAGCAACATGGCTTATTACTCACAAAGATGGTGCCTGCTTCTCTTGGCAGCTCACGGATAAAGCGTTCCCCGAAGCCACGGCGGAAACACCAGGTCAACGGCTGCCCGGCGGATGCTGAGAAGGACAGGCTCATCACAACCGACAGCGATGGCACCTATAAGCGGCCGCCGGGGGTGCACAACTCTGCCTACATGGGCTGCCCGGTGCGTGGAGCCAGCCTTTCAAGAGTGGGGTGGGCCTGGGGACCCAGGACACAGCCTGGGTGGAAGGGAGGGTGAACAGAGTGGGTAGCTGCCGGCAAGGGGCTGTAGATGCCCAGACCCCTTGGGCTGGACGTACTGTTGGCGGGGACCAGAGCTGTGTCAGCCAGGGATATGGGGCAGTGGCCCAGGAAACACCCCAGGGTTTCCATTCCACATGCAAGCTCTGTCCTCAGCCTTCAGAGTGAGATGTAAAAGAGAGAAATGGCCAGGTTAGTTTCCTTCCGCAATGGCTGGGGGGTTTCCTGGTGAAAGAAGACTGTTTAGGGGTCTCTGCCACCGCCCACTTCTAGTGCTAAAAAGCTAGTGCATTTGTTTGGTTTAGTAAGCTTTAACCAAAGTGCTGGGACCAGAAGTGTTTCCTTTTTTTTTAATATTTGAGCATCCCTTATTTGAAAGTCCAAAATTTAACATTCTCCAAAATCCAAAACAGCATTATATCATACCTCCAAATATTAACAGATTTGGGAACATTTCATTGGAGGGCCGCTAGCTTTTGTGTACAGACATTGTTCTGTTTAACAACTGTTTGGACTTGAGGTGCGCCGTTTGCTTTTTATGATCACCCCTGGGACTTGGGACCTGCATCTGGACCTGGGACACAGGAGCATGAGTGGCCATGCGGTGGCTTCTTCGGCAGCCTCGTACTGCAGTGGCTGCTGATTGTGCTGTACAGTATAGTACTAGAGTCTCATGTTTTGTTGTGTATCACAGTATTGCATGTAAGAGTGATGCAGATAAAAAAGGGCTGGCCAGATAGCTCAGCGGACTAAAGCTCCTGCTTAGGCAGGCACAGGGACCAGGGTTCAATCCTCAGTGTGCTGTGCCGGCCCCGCCCCCGGGATGCCCCGAGAGGGTGATTGAGACTGGACGCGGTGGCGCGCATCTGTAACCCCAGCGCGTGGGAGGTTGACAACAGGAGGATCACTGTGAGTCCCATCTGTGTAGTGAGGTCCTGTAGACCCTGTACTAAATACATTTAAAAAAGAGTGATGCAGGTAAAAGCGAAGTTGTCAAGTTGGAGTTTCCTCTGACCTGTTCTTTGCTCCGAATGTTGTCATGTAAGCGTCATGATTCCTCACTGAGACACCAATTCAGTGAGGTTCACCAAATTCATGTTCACCAAACATGATTCCTCACTGAGACACCAATTCATGGGATGAACGAGTCCTTCAATGAGGAATGCCTGGACATTTAAAAAATTTTTTTACCAGATGGAGAACTTAGTGAGAAATAAGAAATTTAGAACTAAACATTTTTTCTCCACTGAAAGAGGCAAAGTAGAAGACAGATATTGATAGCATGAAGGTACACAGGCTCACTGGGAGGGAGCCAGGACTGCTGGAGCCTGTGTGGCACTGCCTGAGCCTGGGCCTCAGGGGACAGACCACGGAGCCACCTGAAGGTGCAGCGCCTGATTTAGCGAAGGGTCACCTTGGGGAAGACATTTGTGCTGGGCACAGTGACTTTAGCTGGAGATCCAGGGATCCGACATTATTTAGGGTTTCTTTCTTTCTTTCTTTTTTTTTTTTTTTTTTCGGAACTGGGGATTGAACTCAGGCCCTTGCACTTGTCAGGCAAGCGCTTATTCTACTGAGCCATCTCTCCAGCCCTAGGGTTTCTTTTTCTCTTAAATTGGTCAAGGAACACATAAAGATTGTCAGTATCACTTCACAAACGCCATATTGTCCAGGGCTTCTGGATGGAGCTCAGGCCTGTTTTAGTAAACATAATAAAGTTTTATTGCCCGACAGCCTGGCGTGTCTGTCTCCCTGTTATCTGTGGCAGCTTTTGTAGAGTTGAGGGGTTGTGACGGGGGCTGTAGGGCTTGTGGAACCTAAATATCTACTGTCTGCCTCTGTACCAAGAAAATCTGTCAGGGATGGCAGAGTGGCATGTACCTCTAGGCCCAGCTACTTGGGTGGCCGAGTCAGGAGGATCTTAGGCCCAGACATTTGGCTTCAGCCTGGGCACCACAGCAAGACCATATGTCCAAAAGAAAAGAAAAAAAAAGAAAGAAAAGAAAGAAAACCACTTATGATGTCCTGATGTAGCTTAGCCAGTTGTGTGGTATGTGTGTGTTTATGTGTGTGTATTGTGATGGCATCTCACTATGCAGTTCAGGGCATGAGCTTATGGTGATCCTCCCGCCTCAGCTTCTCGAGTCTGGGATTATAGGCATCTGCCGGCACACCCACTTTCCTGAGCCAGATACTTTTGAAGTTGAGAGGGAATGCTCTTGATTATTAAACTGGGCAGCAGGACTAAGCTAAGGTTGACCTGGGAACACCATAGTGTGTGATTGCTGTCATCATGGCCCATCAGGTATTCCAGGTAGGCATGAACATGGCCTAATCTTTGATGTTTAAAAGTAAGAAGGCTCATCCGTATTTCCAGAGAATGATAAATCACAGTGAATCTGTACAAAGGAAGTAACATTGAATCTCAAGAGAATTTTCCAGCTGAGAATCGGGAGAATGGAATTTAAATCCCCACTTAGGGATCCTGGGTAAATCTTAACTTCTGCCACCCTCAGGACTCTGTTCAGGAGTTAACAACTGGGTACTGGGTGCTGGAATGTGGGAAAATGCCTGAGACCCCTTGGCTTCTGGTTCTGAGGGCCTGGCTGGAAAAGAGGACCAGGCAGGAGGGGAACACTCTGGCCTTCTTGCCAGGAGTTTCGGGTCAGTGAACTTGGAGGGAAGTGACTTCCCCATCCTCAGAACCATCTGCCCCTAAACCTGTGGATCAGAGGAGGCGTAAATAGGGCCCTGGGAGAGGAAAGGAGCTCGGTTGCTCCAACTGCAGTCAGGATCCTCTTTGGGGCGGCCTTAGAGATCCTAGATGACAGTGAGCACCTGGGAGCCCAGACTGGAATATTGTGCATTTCCCACAGGACCAGCCCAGAAGAACAAGGCCACCAACAGGAAGGGCATCGCCTGCCTCCAGGGGCAGCAGCTCTCAACAGTGGGGGGGCTTTCTCTCTGGGAGGCTGAGGGATGGGTTGTGCCCAAGCCTCAGATTCTGCCCAGAGAGTCCAAAAATCTGAGTGCTCAAGTGATGTTTTCAGATTTTTAAGATACCATCTGTTTAATCCTCCTGTTTTCAGCCTCCCCAACGCTGGGCTTACAGGCATGTGCCATTACACCCAGACTTGGTTGCTGGCTCAGCTCGCCCAGGGGTGGGACCAGTGTGGCATGTGGTGCCAGGGATGGAACTGCGGTCCCTGCGCTTGCCTAAGCAGGCAGTTGGTATGCGGAGCTATCTCACTGGCCCTGATTCCCATCTGTTTTTTTAAAGAAGATTGTAGCTGGAGTGGTTGGTATATGATTGTAATCCCAACACTCAAGGGGCAGAAGCAGAAGGATCACCATAAATTCGAAGCCAGCATCGGGTCTATAGTGAATTCAAGGCCAGCCTGGACTA